CATCAAAAATACTATTGCAAATGTGGTGAACAATTTGAAAAATGGAGTGTACTAGTCGCTCACAGGAAAACTTGCGATAGTTCTAGTAAGTTGTACTCTCTCACTATCTGATTTTGTTTAAACTTGTTGCAGAGAAAGTGTGCCGTGTTTGTAACATGTCATTTGAGCACAGTGGTAACTTTAAGTCTCATTTGGAAACACACTTCGCGAACGCCGCACATAAATTTATATGTGGTTATGACGATTGTAATCGATCGTATATGTATAAGAAGAATCTAACATGCCACATTCGGAGATTCCATCAGAAACAACATCTAATTAAGAAGTTGAAGTGCACAGCACCCGGATGCCAGATGACGTTTGGTAGAAATGTAAGTAGGTATAAGGAAAAACTGGTTTAACACTTACTTGTGTGCTTTTCAGCAAATTCTCAAGAATCACATTCAGAAATGCCATAGCGGAAAATCAAAACTAAGAAAGGAACGCAAGCCTCGCAGAGACAAGGGTGTATCGAAGCAGAGTACAGCAGCAATCTTAGCTGGCTTAGAACTTCCGAGATCAGTACATACGGATATTATTAAAGGGGGCACAATAGACTTTTCCATGATAGAAAAGTTACCTAATCTCATTAACCCTGTGTTAAATAAATGTTCTGGTAGTCCGATTGAGAAATCTGATTCGGAACCAGAGCTTGTAAAAGAAGTGTGTTAATAAAATTTATACTAAGAATTTTTTTGTTCGTTTATTCTATATAGTTTTATGCTTGCATGTTGAAATTTTCAATATGTTCAAAAATCGGCGACATCAAATGCTAATGGGATACCCAGCAAATTATATAAAGGCCTCTAATTACGTGTAGTGTCGCTATTGTTTAGGATTTAAATTCCCAGAACGTGTTTCTTTTGAAAACGGTTTTTAGGGAGGACATCTAACGTTAGTGCAATAAATTGGATGCTTTCTGGCAACAATTATATTAGCAGCATCTGTGGGGAAGTTTAGATCATATATTTGTATGATCTGGTGATATTGTAATTATAATAATTAAGTGCCCTGCATTATGCTTGGAAAATGCGAGAACGCAGTGCACGATATTGTCAACAGATGTCCGAACGATGACTTGAATAAAAATATACTTATTGAAACCAAAGATCATGTATAATGCTCGCGGTAGGGCTATTCTTTCCCGACCCTTACACGGATACTAGTTTAACGTAATTTCATAATATCAGAATTCAAAGACATTGATTAAAGTTGTAGGTGTGTGTTGTTAAATGAGCAAAGATCGGGATAACCCTCGCATCCTTAAGAAGTTGAGGAGTCGCCACACTTCATTGACCTTACTCCTCTATACTTTAATCGTTACATTATATTATTTGTTTTCTTAACATCAGACTGTTCAAGTATATACGATAAAAATACGTTCATAGTATTTTACAGTCCATGGTGATAATTTGTTGTCCCGAAATTGTCTGACTATTGTTCTTCTAGTATAAAAACAGTCACGTCAATCATCGCAGGCAGCCGCCCACTGCAAAACTGGTCGCTTGTGGAGGTGTGCACGAATTATGCTAATCTCTGTCTAGCACATGTGAAGAAAAAGACATAAGTTTTACAGTGGGCGGCTACCTGCGACTGTAGAAAACAGCAGCCACAACATGTTAAAGTTGTAAAACCATTTGTTTTGCAATTAGGTAAATTGTGGTATAGAACTATAAACTTTTAAGCGTAACAGATGTCACGTGCTTGATTCTTCAGGAGTGAAAACAGTACATATATATATACAAAGAATATATAACGTTATACCGGGTGAATATTTTAAAACCGAACATAGGTAATTAACATGGGGAAAACGTTTTTTGCATATCGTTGCGCCCCATGTTAACTTAGAGGGTTATCATAGGGATTTCAATGTAAAATTCGTAACATGCGATTATTGGCTCCCCAAATTATTTTAGAGCAAAAATGTATTAAACTTTTTTGTAGAAAAATTTTTACGCCAATCAACCGTATTAGTTTTCAATTTTTTTCATATAAAGACGGAATTTTTTTCAATAATCTGCGATGCCATGGAATTTTCTAAAACAAAAAGATATCCAGTTGTCAATTAGCAGCAGTCCGAAATGGATTTTATGATCGACTTGGTTACTGCCTTGCAGTTAATGGCGACTTATTCGAACATTTATTGTAAATTGTTATATTAGGAAACCGTTTTTGGTAATTTGGTCTTTCTTTATGTTGAATTCGCTGTTCTAAATATAATACTTTTTGATAGAATTTGATTTGTTTTATAGCATTCCATGGCATGACAGATATTGGCGTATAGTTTTTGTATTATAAAATTCCATGGCATCACATATTATTAAAAAAGATGCGGGTTTTATTTTTCCAATTTTCCGTCTATATTATGCAAAAAAATTGAAAACTAATACGGTTGATTGAAGTAAAAAATTTATTTCTACAAAAAACCTTAATACGTTTTTGCTCTAAAATAATTTGGGGAGCCAATAATCGCATGTTATAAATTTTACATTGAAATGCAGCATCGTTTTGGCCACTGGAAGAACATTTGTTGTGTTGGGAGAGGATTGGGACAATTATTTATCGTGCTATTTGTTCTAAATTGACGAACTCTTTAATTTATAATGACATTATGAACCCATACTTTAGAGAGGATTTATGCATATAACGACACCAAATTCTTATGCAATATAGTAAATATGATAAAGATATTTAATTTAAAAAATGGTAACGTAATAATCAAGTGAAACCATTTTAAGGATGTGTAGGTACGAATTTACGAAATATTTGGATTGATTTTACAGGGTATTTACGGTCTTCTCTGTATCCTTTTAAGGGGCGGCAGTACAGCTCAAAAGGAATCGAGAAACCCCATAAAACCTTAGTAAAAGTTATTTAATAAGCGAGATGTTTTATTTTTTTACATTAAACGATTAATCTGTGTACAAATCTAGCAATCTATACTACTTAATCAGCATTGTCCACTTAAATTATTTTTTACAAAGGGGTTTTGGGGTTTATCGACTCCTTTTGAGCTGTACTGCCGCCCCTTAAAAGGATACAGAGAAGACCGTAAACACCATGTATACATTTACACGTAGGTATCACTCTTAAAAAGTGGCAATCATTAAAAATAATTTTTAGATTTTGTTGCCCTTCTCTGGAAATGAAATGGGGTGACGCGAGACCACTTTAGGGATGCTTAGCAATGAATTTATGAAATATTCAAATTGATTATAAATTGACACGTATCACTATAAAAGTTCTTTCATTTATCCTCAATTTCACTGAATATAATTTTCTAAATTAATGCCGGTTGCACCGACAAATTTAAGCGAAGCTTAGCTTAAAATCCATGGCAACCATTGTGGCAATAATCGCTGCCATGGATTTTAAGGTACGCTTAAATTTGTCGGTTCAAACGGCCATTAGTCGTCTTTGTCAGAGAACGTAGCTAGACTGTTTTTAGTGATGCTTAGGTAAGAATGTATGAAATACTCGAATTCGTTTTAAATTGACACTATGGTCCCTTACACACCCTATAAAATTTCTTTAATTGACGTTCAATGTCATTAAAGTATTTCATTTTTTCTAAATTATTGCAAATTCAACCCCCGCATCGCTTCATGGTGGGAGTTTAGTGGGAGAGACTAATTAGTTCTATTAGCAAACTGTTAAAACGTGACGTGAAGTTCATTATCACTAACCATACAATTATTCATTGTTCCCAGACGCAATGGGTGGATTTACGCATAGGTTGAAAGGGTAAAACCTGGAGCGATAGGGAAACAAAAGCGCCAACGATTAAAGTAATATAAAAATCGCTTTACTTCGAAAGGATTTTGTTTATTCCTCAACCTTGTTACATTGTCAAAAAAAACTTACTTCGAACAGTACACCCTCGAGTACACCATTGCTACAGATTCTGCTCACTCGTGCCATATGTTACACACGTTTCTATCGTCTTATCAAACATACATACAGATTTATACTTGGACTGAATCAAATTAGAATGATTAGAACCACACTTACCTAAATGGAAACAAGTATAAATATTGTGTACAACTCTTAAAAAAATTAATACTACGGGAAAAATACTAAGGTACGTGAGAAAGGAAGATACTACGAAGAATGTATGCGAAGAGATGGCATAGATGGCTATTACTAAAGAACAAACAAAGAATTATACGAGATCTATCAAGCAAAGAATACTCCGGAGGTTATAGAAGAGAAGGCTGCAATGGGCAAGAAGTTATAGAACAAAAACTCTGCTCAGACGGAAATTTATAATAAATATGAAAATGTTCATCCATAATTCAATTAAAGTGGTAATAATAGATTTTGGCTACACCGTCCTAGTTAAAATTAGTGATTAAATATTTGATCAGCTTTTGAGCGGTAATTATAGTTCACATACCTACCTACTACAACTTGATATTGTACTAAGAATCTCGAAATGGTCATCTCAAGTGCAAAGCTAGTTTGTTGACAAGTGAATGAACTTAATTTTCCATGACCTGCTGGATAATTGCATGAAACATGAAATGGTCGTAAAAGAAATTACGACTTTCTACGAATGTCATGTCACGGCCTCTTGCTGTTTATATTTAAGTCAAGGTTGTGTTATATCACCATTAAGTAGGTACCATCAAATGTAAATCAAAACCCAAATTACTATTATTAAATGTGCTCAAGGACATTTTCCCCACGAAAAATGGGAAAAAAGTTTCATTCCTCCTGGTTTTCACTGGAAAGTACTATCACAAATGTAAACAATCTCCACTATGATTCTGTTCTCTCAGATTTGGGCTTCTCCTACGCGAAACGAAAATTTTTACTTGGAATATCGATTTATGGTGAGAATTGAATTAAGCCAGGTACCTTAACATCTAAATCGGTTTTTGCTCTCTGTTTACAACAAATGGTAATTGCTAGGCGTTGAATGATGAACGCCGCAATTGCATTGCAATTATGCACACCGACTACTTCCGAAACAGATGTACGATGTACGGCAGCAGGTACCATTATTCTCGTGTAAAAATGGCGTAAACACATCGTTGATTCGAGTTCAAAGTCCTAGCGCCCTGCATGCCTTCATACTTAAACCGCCAGCCATAATTACCCATCGCATTCGTTGTCAATACATCGACAAGTTATCACCTATTATGCTTAAAGTTGAACTAGACCTAGATCTAATGATGTTATTGTGTGCAATAGTCCTAGCTGCCATAGTTTTACTTTTTGTACTGATTGACATTCAGTATTTTGTGCGAAGTATCTTCGTTTTGGTATGGGGAAGAATTTTCGAACCGAGGAAACGACCCGATGAACTTACTACAATTTTTGGTGAGTGACATTGCATAAATTGCCCGATTAATTCACTTGTACTGTTAGGTATGTGTACCACAAGCGATTTGGACATTATTTTTGCGCACATGAATAATGCGAGATACGTACGCGAATTAGATTTTGCACGTTTCCACTTTTACGATCGAACCGGTATCTACAAGGCAATTCTCGGCAAAAAGGGCAACGTCTTGCAATCGGCGTGCATTATAAGATATCGTCGTACAATTCCGTTATTTACAATGTACAGAATTACGACAAAGGTTTGTAAAGTGCGTCTTGCGCGTTGATGTCATCCAAATTTTACAGATGGTGTACTGGGACGATAAGTCCATATACTTAGAGCAACGATTTATAAGTCTGAGGGATAAGTTTATTAAGGCCGTGGTCTTCAGCAAGCAGGGTGTTGTAGGTGTCAACGCAGCGGAAATAGTTAACAAACTTTTGAACAAAGACGACGATTATCGTCCAGAGAAGAGTGAAGAACTGGAACACTTCATTAAATGTTTAGATGCATCTAGTATGCGGCTGCGGAAGAAAGATGACTGATTACATTGGTTGCTGATTATGCAAATGAACCTTCGACTGCGAAAACCATCGGTAGTAAACCGTAGCTTCTTAGTACTGTATTCATTTTATATAATGGCCAGTCACGGTATAACTGAATTTATTGGTTAATTGTTATTGGTTTATATATTAAACGAACTAGTAGCTCGAATTTCCTGATGCGCAGTCAGTTAGTTATGCATGCAATGAGTGCCCTAAGCCGTGTTTTGTACCACAATTTTTAATTAGGCAGATGAAAAGGCATTTTTGAGGCTATCATCACAAAAAATATGTTTATGAGCAAATTTTTGAATTCTTTTTTGATGATCGCCTAAAAAATTTTGTGTGCACCGCGGCCAAAAGTGATTTGTTAGGCCACATCTGAATTGCGACCTCGGTTAGCAGCTTCGGCCAAAAAAGATCACTTTTACGGCCTTGGTACACAAATAACTATTACATTCTTTGATTGTTCCACAAACATTTAATCCGCTTAATATTTTATATACTGCAATAGCAAATAATATAGTTAATGTAACAGACAAGACAGAAAAATAATGAAAAAGGGGCTAGACTGTGAGTAAATAAGGACATTACTATTTTTAATGAAATTCAGCATAAATGAAAGGCGTTTTTTAAACAATGATACATCTAAATTTATAATCAATCCGAATAATTTAAAAATTCCTACCTATTGAAGCATCCTTAAAATGATCTGGCACGACCCTATTCCGTTCCCTATGAAGGGCAACTCTATACTTGAAAGCTATTTTTTTATTGAAATTGAGCATATAAATACGTCTAAATTTATAATTAATCAGAATTATCCATCCCTGTTCCCCATAACTACCTATGTTTGAAAATAATTTGTTGTACTGAACTAAATCAACGTGTTTTCTCATTCATTTAAGGGACTAAAGTGTCACTTTTTCTCCCGCAGGGAAAAAAACGCGACGCGGGACAAAAAGTGACAGTACACACTGAATTGTCAAACACAATTTAATGGTTAATTGCTTACCTTTATATGCACATTCTTATTCTTGCACCATATTTTACACTTATACCATTGAGTAATTTCACTCAACGCTTATACCGTTTTCCATATATCTTGTTGAATTTGGGAGGCAGTAGGTTTCCTTATAGCTTGTTCTTCAGAGTTTTAAACGATCATTTCTACGTTGTAGTTTTGAACTAGAATCTTTAAATCAAAGTGAATTTTATCATTATACGGTCACAATTTGACATTACAAGGTACTATAATATTGATCCTACAATCAAATTTTTTCTTTCAAATTTGCACTAATCTCATAGGCTTGTTGCCCACAACTACGTTTCGGCCAACAATTTGCACCCTCGGGTTTAAAACACACATTTTAGTCCTTTGGTATATAATATACTATACCTAGAAATTGAGAATAAATGAAAGAATGATACGTGTAAATTTACAATCAATCCGACTATGTTAAAGAACAAGACAACCCAGGACCGCGTCATAAGCTCATGCACAATGCACTCTCGGAACCCAAGAAAAATACCCTATGAATACCTATATCCGGATATCTGCGAAGGGTTTTACGTCCCTAACAATAGCCCAACAACAAAGCACGGCCAGCACGATGGCCTACAGCTAGACAATACACCAGATTTGCCAACACTTCGAAAAGCCAGACCAAAAGAGAATTGATGAAACCATCGCTATGACTAGTGTGCCTTTCTTCGACTCTCTTGTGTCCTTTCACAATCTAAAACTTCACTTTAATCTCTTACCCGCTGCGTTCTGCGTTTTGTTCCTATAAGGGTCGTAACTCGTAAGTCCTTATGGGTTATAGGGGTTGCTTCTCTTCTCCGGATCTCCTCTGGACTATTTTGTGTTGAGGGTCGTGAAACCTTATAACCAACTTGTTTGGCTGTTCCTCTCCTACTGGGAAACTTCGTTGATTAATCACGCACGTCGTATTTTCTTCCTGCGGCGTGTTTCCGTGTCTTCTTACAGTGATGTGCAGAGGCGGTGTGACTTCTTGCAGCCTTTATTAGTTTTAAAATTTTCTTACCCGATTTTTAATGGTGGTCATTTTGTTGCTGTAAGGGTCGTAAATCCTGACAGTTTTAGGGTTGTTTCTTCCGCCGCTACTTTTTTTTTCTGCCGCTGGTGTTTGTTCTGGAGCTTCCTTAATCTCCGGTGGCCGATGGTGATGGCTCGAAGGACCACGAACAGAAACTCTCTTTCGTGGATGGGGAGAGCTTAATCGATATTGAAGTCGTTGACGATCACTGATGAGGGTTGAACAGCAGCCTCACTGTCCTGAAGAATGTATGACTTGGAATACCCTCGTGAATGCCAACGACGACGTGATTAAAAGACCGGTGAAGATGTAATAATTGTAATGCATTTTAAACAGTGCTCATTTATGTATCGAATATAGTACATATCTCGGTAAATATCAACTGTATAGGTACAAAATTTTTCTAATATGAAAGTTGTTTAATATTCTATTTCCCATAATAAATTCAGTTGTTTTTATTTCAGAAAACAAATGAGTAACGAAAAACAATTAAATTTTTTTTAATTTCATAGAGATTTTATTTCTCTTTTCGATGATGCAACTAATACAAGAAAATTTTTCCAAAAAACTTATTTTAATCACATCAATAACATTCATCTAGATATCTTACATCAAAATAAAACAAATGAACGTGTACGTTGCTTATTAAACATTGAAGACAAAATGAAATTAGCAATAAAATGGTAACAAACGTACACATTCATTTGTTTTATTTTCATGTAGGATATCTAGATTACCTAATGATATTGAAGGGAACTTTTTTGAATTAGGATACTAACATGTTACTCATCGAAAAAAGAAAAATCTCTATCAAATGAGCTTAATGAAAAGGTGCACATGCACGGCCATTTAAAAAAATTCAATCGTTTTTCGTTACTAATTTGTTTTCTGAAATAAAACAATTGAATGCTGCATTATTATGGGAAACAAAATAATTTTCATTTAGGAAAATTTTGTGTACATTCGATAATTACCGAGATACATACTATATTCCATACATATTGTGTATGGGTACCCTTTACTTCGTGTAATGGTAGCACGTTTGTCGATCACCTACTGCTTTATTGAAACGCAAAACCATTATTTCAAATTTATTTCAAGAACTCTTTTACCTTAACGGATTTACAATGTAACTACAGGAAATGAAATTAATTAGCAATTGAGAAATGAAATGAAATGCATTTTATACATGTATGATCAATTTTACAGTTCTAGTTTTGCTCCTTTTTGGAAAAGGTGTAAAGCGCTCAAATTCACGGTCTCGGCTAGATAATGGCGTAAGACAAAAATTGCTATAGATACAATATAAAATCATTGAATATAAAAAGCTCCTTCATTTAATTACTTCATTTTTCTTATCTTAAACTCTGCTATAATCACGCAAAGTTACTATAATGATGTAAAAATATTGATTCAAAGTTGTGTTATGAGCAGAGTTGGACTGGGTCAAGCATAGAGTGACCCAGTGACCCGGTGACCCAGTCAGTTTACTGACCCGGTGACCCAGTGACCCGGTGACCCAGTTGACCCAGCTTGACCCAGTTTGACCCGGTGACCCAGCTTGACCCGGTGACCCAGCTTGAGCCGGTGACCCAGTTTGACCCTGTAGCCCAGCTTGACCCGGTGACCCAGTGACCCATCTTGACCCAGCTTTACTCAGTGACCCGTCTTGACCCGGTGGCCCAGTAATTAAATTATTGTTAGGTATCATCCAAAACAATTTCAAGTAACTTTCAATTCTAAAAAAAACTTCCTAAATAATATTCGCCAACAAGCACGTAGCCCAATTTCATTCAAGAGAACTAATACCTAAAAAAATCAAATGCATTTGTTTATAGTTTGTAGTCAAGTAGTCAATGAAAGTATTTAGAGAAAAGATTTATTTGGATTAAGCTAACTAGTAGAAAAAAATTAAATGTGAATGAATACCTGTAAGCAAACTGATAAGCCCTGAATCAAAGAAATGAAGGAGGGAACTGTTTAGAAATAACATTATTCTAATACAATTCGGGACATGGAAAGTTTTTTACGGCAGTATTAAAGCAAACATCACAGAACCGGCAGTTGTCAAGCTATCGAGTATTATTTTCAACAAACCAGCATTTCATTTATTTCATAATCTGTACACTTGAACCGAGGGCACTGACTTAACTGCGTTATTCGATCAAACTAGGTTACTGGGTCGAATTGGGTCTCCGGGTGAAATTGGGTCGCTGGGTCAAACTGGGTCACTGGGTCAAGTTGGGTCACTGGGTCACTGGGTCTAACTGAAAAGAGTATGACGTGACCCAGCGACCCAGTGACCTAGTTTAGTTTAGTGACCCAGGTGACCCAGTGACCCAGTCCAACTCTGGTTATGAGTATGGACCAATTTTAGCAGGGATTACAAATTAATTATGTTAGGTTTTACTTACTAGAAATTAAAATTGTTGCGCTTTTTACGTAAACAGATATGATCGTTTGGATGGAGAGATCTACTTGAACCCTTCCTCCCCACTGTTCGCTTGTACTTTTTTTGAATTAAAGAAATTTCAAGCTAAATAGGAGATCTTGCTACAAATATTCGTAATACTCAAACTCAAGCATGAAATAATTTAAAGCCTATAAAGTGGCTACTCAATAACGGTTATGAATAAAGCGCATCTAAAATATTGAGATCGTTAAAGGTAAATGTTGAAAAAGCGCTGGGATAACTCAGTTTTAGATACAAGTGAGCCATTTTTTATGTTATCCCTTATCGCTACGGGCGCAATGTATATGTTACCTATACCATTACCTTTAAACGTTAATTTGAACGGAAAAAAAGGAAGTTTATATCCATTTTAATCGCAAATTAAGTTATCTGTACACAGTACAACTAGAAAAGAAAGTGGAGTTTTTCAACTCGAGTTCAAAGTCTGACACATGAGCGAGTGTGTCAATCGTACGAAAGTTGAACAACACTTTCTTCTCAAGTTTTACACATAATTTTTTCTGAAACTACAATCAAAATTGAAAAATTATCGTATATGCAATAATGAAGTTTGAGGTTTGACACCAGTGGCGCAATCAGAAATTTGCTTTGGGAGGTGCTAGAATTACGAGTTGTCTTAGTACCTACAGAAGAAGTAGTACAAAACTCACCCTTTTATTTTGGCTTAGGTAATACAAGCGATTTTTGTTAATTAAATACCATTTTATTTTGTCGTTTTATTGTGAACTTACTTGAAAAACCTTGCAATTTTAGGCGATTTAAGAAACCCGCAAATTTTGCGATTTTGGGCGATTTCCAGGGGATATTATTTTAAGCGATACGTATGAAGTAAACGTTGGCAACCCTGACGCTAAGACAACCGGAACATCGAATTCATTTCATTTGTCCACTTCTTGTCTATGTGTA